CTAAGTTTAATTTGCATCACTGTCATCTCTCTCTATTACTTTCCTAAGTCTAGACAGTCAACTAAACAATAAATCAAGTCCTGATTTGTAATATTTGCCAATATCTGAGGTGTAAATGCTCATACTGAAAATTTAACAATTTACTCTCCTGAGTTGGCGGTGATTGACTGCAGTACACCCTCAATCAAAGCCTTTCCTAGGGACACACACAATACAGAAGAGCGGGAATACAGACATACTTACAAAGAAAGTCATCAATGTGATTAAATTTTCCAGAGGTACACTGCTCAGCCACTAAGAAGTTTTAATTGATTCTTTTGCTATGCCTCCTTCCAATAAAAGACTACAGTCATATTTTAAAGTCTATCTTAAGAACACCAGTCCAGAAAATCCTACCTCCTACAGGAAGCCTTCCTCTATCCCTCTTAAGTCCAGTGCTTTCCCTCTGTCATTTAGCCTGTATACAGTCTGCTTTGTATTTATTCGTATGTTGTCTTCCCCATTCAGCGGTAATAAGCTCCTTGAGGTCAGGGACTATCTTTTGCCACTTTTATATCCCCAGCACTTAGCACAGTGCCTAGCACAAAGTAGGCACTTAATAAATGTACATTGAACTAAGTTGGAGCAAAGGAGGCTGATTTTCTAATTAAAGACTACTGAGAACAGCTGTTACCTTCCTGCTATCAGAGCTCGATGTCCATTTCCTCAACTACGCTAACATTTTTCTTTGTTCTCCTCTCTAGCTTGATTCTTGGTACTTCACTTGGCATTCTCTGGGTTCCAGCCAGATTGGACTAATCCTGCTTTGCCCTCAGCCACTTTTGCTTCTCTTTGCATGTAATACCCTATGCCTAGAATGGCAACTCCTTCCACTATTTCTAATCTTTCTCCTTCAAAGTCCAACTTGAGTGACACCTCCTCTATGATGCTTTTTCTTGTCTTCTGAGGTAGAAATGATCACTCTCTCCTTGAATTTCTAATGGATGATATTTGTCTTCTATGTACTTTATTATATTTAATTATCTTCTAAATTATAGTTATTTGTGAATGGGTGCCATCCTTCCGGACTGTGAATTCCTTAAGGGCAGGTTTTATGCCTTTTTTCATATCTTTCTGACCCAAGGATCTAGCATACTACCTTACACACATTAAGCACTTAATCAGTTTTTGTTGAATTGAATTAATTGGCTTGAATCTTTTGTTGGATGAGTTGAAACGTTGAGTAGGGAAGGAGTTACCCTAGTACCTGGGTTGGTGTTTTGGCGCTCCTTGAATTTCTGGGATTACAAGGTAGAGGATCTAGAAGAAGTAGCTCTACCTGCTTATTCTGTACTACATATTTGTGTGCATTTATTTTGGAGAAGAGGGAGAGAAATTCAAGAAAAGATAATAGGGTAGGATCATAAAATCATAGACTTTGAGGGGTGTGGTAAGGAAGGGGGGAGTCTTAGAGGACATTTGAATTCAATCCTCTCATTTTATAGCTGAGGAAAGCGAGGTCCAGAGAGATTATGCAGTAACTGCTAATCTGAGTCTGAATGTGAACCTAGGTCTTCCTAACTTCAAGTCCAGGGCTAGATGGCAGCTAAGTGGTGCGGTGAATAGAACACTGCCCAGAGTCAGGAAGACCTGAGCTTAAATCTGGCCTCAGATACCACTAGTTGTGTGACTCTGGGCAAGTCATTTAACTGCTGCTTGCCTCAGTTTCCTCATCTATAAAATGGGGATAATAATAGCACTGACCCTACACAGGTTGTCATAAGGATAAAATGAGATAACATTTGTAAAGTGCTTTGCCAACTTTAAAAGTGCTATGTAAATGCTAGCTATTGTTGTTATTATTAATTATAATAATAATAATCCACTGCACCATGCTGCCTTCCAACCTGACTATGGAGGACCTTGACCACCTGGCTAAGAGGTCTTTATTACTCGGAAGGCAATGGAAAACCATGACAAGTTTTTGACCAGGGAAGTGATCTGACCATACCCTTAGGAACAGTACTTTGGCAACAGAAAAAAGGACAGACTGGAGAAAGACAGGCTCATAAAGTACCACTACGGACAAATACACTAAAGAAGTAAGATCAATTACTTGGATTGCTGAGGCAGCTGGTTGTACAGAGGAGAAAGTCCTGGGCTTGGAGACTGAAAGAACTGAGCTCAAATCTCATCTCAGATACTGAGTAGCTGCGTGACCCTCAGTTTCCTCAAATGCAAAAATAGGGATAATAGCATCACTCACCTCACAGGGTTGTTGTGAGGATAGAATGAGAGAACATGCGTAAAAAAAAAAACAAAACCACATTTAGCACAGTGCCTGGTACATAGTAGGTGCTATATAAATGTTTATTCCCTTCTCTTTTCTTTCCTTCTCCCAGAGGGCTAAATGTTCTTGGGGCCCCAGGTCAGCCTGGGATGTCAAAGAGGAGCAAAGAAAGCACTGCCAGTCAGGGGCCTCCTTTCCTTCTCTCCCTAGCTGTAAAGTTATCCCCAAGTAGTAAGGGAGATCTATTTATTTTGCAATTACCAAAGGATATGGTAATTTTCTGAAATTTTGGCAGAGGGTCCCAGACTTTCCAGTTACAACACTGGTAGGACGTTAAAGGCTTTCATATCTGGAAAATCTAGCCGTTCGTTGTTGGGCTCGTGGGCCGAGATGAGCTGGGAGGAGAGAAAGCTAGAAGCTTTTTGGTAACAATTAAATCCCTGGATTTACATAATGTGACCTCCAATGTGTGGGGCACTGTTTGGCTATTGGCTTTGCTATGAATGCCTGGGGCAGAATACCAAAGGAAAAACTACACTTTGAGAGCATTCTCAGGACAAACCTGAGAGAACTAGCTGGCTAATGCAAAGACGTTCCAAACAAACACAAGCTGGCTTAAGGAATATGCAAAGCTGACAAGAGCCCTCAGTTGGCCTGAAAAGAGTGAGTGGTGCTTCATTTTACTAAGGGATTTGGGGGTCTATAATGAAGTATACATGGCATTTCCCATGGGCTTTGGTGCATAGTTTGAGATAGTCACACAGACGAGGGGAGGGGCAGTACATCAGAACAGAGCTCCTGAATCTCTGGGGCCCAACAGGATGCAAATGATTTGACAGCATATAAATGACTTTGCAGAAACACAGCCAAAGTTCCCAGAGTAAAAAATTTCCATTCCCATCCATATAAAAGACGTGGCTACAAAGTAACAAGATTAATTTTCTTGTGTGGCTTGTAAACTGGTTCCCAAGAAGGAGTTTATTTAAAAAAAAGTTTTCACCAATGGCAGCATCATTGCTGTAGGTCAACAGCCTCCCCTGGCAACAACTTTGAGAATGCTGACTTGGAGGTATGATTTTGAATTTGTTTGAAGTCTCATTATTTTATAGTTTCACCTCATTTATGGGACCATTACTCAGAAGAAATAAAAGTCTTTTGATGTTTGAGGATTCTAATCCTTCTAACTGCTCACACCTTCTCTCCCCAAAAGAAATTATCTTTTTGAAAAACATATTTTATATATATATATATATATATGTATATTCATACATATATCTTCATCCCTTATAGAATGCAAGCTTCTTGAGGGCAAGGACTGTTTAACTTATTTCTTTGTATCCTCAGCACCTAGTACAAAGTCTGACACATAGTGGATGCTTAAGAAATACAGTTAATTGACTCAGGAAGAGAGGGAGGGAAAGAGGGAGGGAAAGAAAATAGCTGGGTAGCTAGATCAACTATATGAAGAAAAGAATAAAAAAAGGAAAAAAAGACAATTTTCTTAATCCTTTCAATGAACCACGAACCAGACAACAAAGCAGAAGATTTTACTACTCTTATAGTGGGCATAAGTACCTGTGGTTTTTTGGGGGAAAATGGGGATGGCTGACTGGGAGTGGTCATAAACTTACTCAGGCAATTAAAAAAAAAATGCTGCTCTAAGAGCTGACTGTCTGGCGTCCTGGCAGTGAATCCCTCTTCTGTTCACATTTAGGGCATTATGTGATCACTCCTTTAAACTATGCGAAGTATTGTGCTCAGCTTTATCGTGTATTTCTGGGCTGGCAGGAACTGAATCCTCTGCAGAGCCAGAGCTTTCCAATTCACTTTCCAGAAGAAAGAGAACACACTTCAGTGACCTTCTTTGGTTGGGATAAAGTACAACCCTGATGAGCCTGGAAGAACTTCACCCACACCTTCAAGCTCAAAGATGGTGAGCTAAACCTCAGAACAAGAGAGAGCAGAGAGAGGTGCTAGAGGCCCTCCTGATGAGTATTAACACCAAATGTGACTTGGAAAGGGGTCTTGATCATGAGCAAAATGTAAAATATATGCAGGCCCAAAACATTTCTGAAGAAAGCTGAGGAAGCTAAAGTCCCTTTTATCTGGTAAGTCTTGTGTCCCTTAGTGTCTGAGATTCCCCAAGATAATAAAGGTAAATAAAAAAAATTTGTTTCAGTATGTATTCAAAAACCATGAAATATATTTGCATTTACAAGTTAATTCTGAAATAGATTCTAAACAGGGAAATAGACTTTTTGAATTCTATTCAATGGGATTTAAAGTGCTGTGGGGGAAGAAATCATTAGCTTCTTCCCATTTTGGTTTCACAGGACAACAACTCCTTTATTAAAAAAAAAAGAAGGGAAGGAAGGAAGAAAGAAAGAGAGAGAGAAAAAGATACACAAACACTAAGCAAAAAAAAAAGGTTCTTAAGTAATAAAATCAGAGTCCAAGAAAAACATTTAGTTTGAAAAAAGGGTTGAAAAATGTAGCCTTGGAGAGACCACTGCTTACATGGGATTGTTCAACAAATTCCTGTTGTGTGAGGTTTGGCATATATTTTCTAAAAATATAAGCAACTAGGGAAACTAGACAAAGCCCAGGTCTTGGACCAAATGAGGCACGCAGTATGAATCTGTTAGTGATTATATCCATAATGAAATATGTGCCCAAATTTAGCAGTGCAAAATCTAATACAATATGAAAACACAGCATGCACAGTCCTTACCATAATATATAGCCAACAGCAAAGGTGCACACTGCAGCAAGTCCACAGCTCCTGCTGGGATACTGATGATGTGATGTCCTCATCTCAATTAATATAAACGGGAGAACTGTTGTATGCTAAAAAAAATCCCAAAAAACAAAAACAACCACCAGGTGAGACAGTTCATTGTCACTATACCTTGAACTATTCTTCAGGGGCAGTTGGAAGAGTGTAAGTTCCTAGCCACATAAAAGCAAGGTAACGCCAAAGTATGGAATTCTAAACAGATGAGATAGATTTGACTCCATCTATAAGGACATACATGATTCCAATGGTGTTTTTGTTTTACTTATTATTTTTGAAGCTTTTCTATAGCAATAAACAAGATGTTGAAATAAATATGTCCTTATTTTGTATCACCCAAAGGGTAGTCTTAATGCACTGGCCCTTGCTCAGATAAGATGAGGTTTTGGTTAGATTCATTTAACATGTTATAGAATGTATAATTATAGCACTGAGTCATATTCTATTACTCTGACCAACACAATGACCAACCACGATTCCAGAGGGCTGATGATGAAGAATGCTATGTAGCTCAAGAACAAATTCCAAAACTTTAAAAAAAGTTTTAGAAAAAATTTCTTTGTTGGTTCAGCAGAGGAGAGAGCTGGAAAAAGGTGAGGCTCCCTCTTGAGTCTCTGTGAGGTTTACAGCATATAGAGTTCAAATGAAGGAACCAGCATACAGACTTCTGCATGAAGGCATTTTGGTTGAAATGTGTATCAGCAGTTAAGTATAAACACTCAATAAAAATGGGGTGAAGCCAAAATGCAAGCTATTGGGGAATCCAAAATACAAGGTTTGGGTGGACCCCAAACAAGACTTGGGTGAGTAGACCCAAAACACAAAAGTTTTGGGTAGACCAAGGATTTCTGGCATAGGTCTCCAGCTTCCTGAAGCATTTCTGAGGTCAGCCTGACCTCTACTGTAAGCTTTGGGTTAGATCAAGGGTGAGGAACTTGCAGCCTCTAGGCCACATGTGGCCCTCTAGGTACTCAAGTACGGCCATTTGACTGAATCCAAACTTCATAGAACAAATCCCCTTAATAAAAGGATTTGTTCTGTAAAACTTGGACTCTGTCAAAAAAGGTTGCACCTTAGGACCTAGAAGGCCACAGGTTCCCCACCCCTGGGTTAGACAATTTTTAGCCATAAAAAACTAGGTTAAAACAATACTAATTAAGAAATAAAAAATGTTTTCCCCACACTACCTACCCCCTGGCAAAGAGATGATGGACTAAATATGCAGAATGAGATATATTTTGGATACGACCAATTCAGGAATTGGCTTTGTGTAACTGCATTTTTTTTTTTATATGAAGAGTAGGGAAAAGGTAGGAAGAAAAGTAAATGAATGCTTATTGAAAAAATAATTTAAAAAAGTTTATAGCACCCTCAAAGAAGCCACTGTCCTAGGAACTGAAATCTGGAGAAAACATGGGCCAATTCTGAGAGGTCTTTTGAACTGAGTGAAGTGCAAGAGGCTTAAAACTGTTCCCTGCTCAGGGTATAACCATTTTGAGCTTGTCCCACCCATTAGATTATAAGTTCCTTTAGGGCAGGGACTGTCTTTAGCTTCTTTTTGTATCCCCAGCGCTTAACACAGTGCCTGGCACAAAGTAGATGCTTAATAAATGTTTACTGAATCAAACTGAATTATGGATAGACATTTGGCAGTTTTAATTCCTTTCACCTGCTCATAAGCCAGGAGAGTATCTTTGTTTTATCTGTGGTGTGATGTTCCAGGGAGAAAATTCTGAACTTAGTGTTTACTCAGTGAAGTTTGTCAAACATTCATTGGTATTAGAGCCGAATGGAAACAGGTGGTAGGTATGCCTTGGAGAGCAAAAAAGATCGTTGAGAGATCAAACAGTTCAGCTTTGGAAGAATTTATTGTTTATTTTCATAGAAAGAAAAGAATGAAATTACTTGAGTAGGAAATAATAAAACAGTGAAAAACCTCTGGCTCACAGATGTAACAGTGCTCTGGATAACTTCTGAGTCTCAAAAATATTAGTAATTAATGTCTGGCATTCAGAGAATGTCAGGTGGGTAATATAACACTTAAGGGAATTTTCTACTTTTTCCTTCAGCAGCTTTTTGGTGGCGGTGTAGTTGCCTTTTAAACAGTATAATGGGCTTTGAAGAAAATCATGGGAGAATTTATATTTCTGCTCTTTTAGAGGTATGAACAGGCTACAACCCATAATAAATAAGAATATTAAATAAGAATAAATAAGAAATTACAAAGGTGTGATTTAAATTATAAGCAAAGAAATATATAACAAATAAAGAAGAAGGACCATAAAAGGGATCCAATGGATAGCCTGCCTCTTACATTGATAGCCTCTGATATCAGCAGAAGCAAAGAAGACTCCCAACATGTTGTGCAGAACTCTGTGGCACTGTATTCCCCCCCTGCCCCCACCCGTGATGAAGTTATGGGAATTCTATGGACAAGAGTAGCACAGAGCCAGGCATTAGACAGATAGTAATCTACACTGGTAGGTGGTACAGCAGATATAGTGCTGGACCTGGAGTCAGAAAAATATTAGTTCAGGTCTGGCCTCAGATACTTAATAGCTGTGTGACCCTGGGCAAGTCACTTAACCTTTGTCTAACTCAATTTCCTCAACAGTAAAATGGGGGTAATAAACATATCTACTTCTTAGGGTTGTTGTGAGGAACAAATAGATAATATCTGTAAAACACTTAGTCATAGTGTCTGGCACATAGCAGGTACTCCCTCCCCTTCCTATATCACTGGAGCATTTAGTACAGTGCCTCACACATAGTGGGTGCTTAATAGATGCTTATTGACTTGGAGAGAATGTCAGTATCACTGAGATCACAGATCCATTTGCATATCTGAGAACAGGGGAACTAGTATTTTATGGGGATGTTGTATCCATATTTCCATTATAGACCTAACCATCTCATATTACCTATACCCAGAGTTTCAAAAACAAGCTTAGGATATCAAAGAGTATTATAAATAAGAAAATTAATATTAAGTTCAAATATGTACTTAGAAACCAAGCTAATTTCGGTCAGTTCTTAGGGAAGGGGAAAGAGGGAAAAGGGAAAGAACAAAAGCCAAATCTCAAACCAAATTGCTTAAATATTGCAGGCAATATTGTACCTCATGGTATTTGTGGAATATACTCTGAAGATCATGATGTTGAAGATTTTTTTTGGGGGGGGGGGGTTTCATCCTAAAGAAAAAATTCTTGAAATTCTACCTCGTGCATCCAAAGGGCAAAACCAAAGGGAAGGCCATCTTATAGAGTCATTGAATATTAAAATTAGAAGAGATTAAAAGATCAAAGATTTAGAGCTGGAAGGGACCCTGGAGGACGTTTACTTTAACCCCCTCATGACTGAGTACCAGAGAGATAAATGACTTGCTCAAAGTCATACAGCTAGTTAGTAGTAGAAGTGGGACGAGAACCCAATTATCCAGACTTCTAGTCCAGCGGGTTCTCCACTTCTCTCTTCTCTGATTTTTAATGAGTTCAAATAACCAATGCAAATATTCTTCAGTTGTTCAGGCAACTGTCCAGCTTGTTGGCTGATGATCTTGCTGTCCTTCAGATTTCATAATTGGAAGGGACTTTGTATAAATTCCCTATGCCAAACAGTAAATCCACCAGGAAAAGGCAGTCAAAGTCTTCAAATGGACAAACAATTTTTACCATTATAAAAAAAGCTGTTCAAGGTATTCATCTCATCAGTTAATGAAAGTTGTGTGGAAGAATTACGAGGGTGGGAGACTGAGGTTTGGTTAGGTAGAGGAATGAGGGAGCCAGTCCAGGTTCCTAGGAGCTAAGGAGCATATGTATACTCCAAAAAAACATGGTCATAATGAAAATTACAGGTTGCCCCAGCCAAAGAATTCATCATGAAGGAACCAGCATACAGTTTCTAAGTGTCTCCATACTTAGGAAGGCTGGTCCTTGGAACACAGATACTGTCTGAGGCTCTACTTGAATACTTTTAAGCTTGGCAGGCCCTAAGAGAGTTTATGTTCTTCAGGTGTAGCTTTCAAGAACCCAGGATCACTTCCACACTAAAAAAAAGTATAAGGGGGGGGGGACTTATCTATTATCACATAGATTGACAGAAAATTACATATTATAGCCATTTCTTCTAATCACTGCTTGAGAAGGGTTTATTTAACGGCCTTATACCATTACTTAACTGTAACTTCAATAGTACTCCATGAGGTTCTGAGTGGCCCCAGAGAACTAGGTACATTGTGTAGTAATGGTAAATAGGCCAATTTAAACTAACAATCAGGACTCTTCAAAGATGAAACAGACCACCATGGAATGTAGTGGGTTCCACCTCCTGAGAGTTCTTTACACAAAGGCTTTATGAGCACTTGTCAGATATGGGATAGAGGGGATTCTTGTACAGATCCAGAGTGGAGATATTTTTGAAGCTCCTTCTAACTGAGATTCTAAGATAAACATCTACCCACAATCTTTGACCCTTTCAATTTGTAAACTCTCACAGAAAAACCTGCAACACCTTGATGGGCTAATGTTATGCATCTCCAGGTATCAGTATCACATCAAGAATGAACTCCAGATTTAGAGCATTCCATGGACACAAATCTGTTTGTCCTTCCAAGGAGGAATCCTCCAACTTAGTCACTGTATGGGGAGAAATCCAGGCAGTCACACCCAGAGAATGAACCAACTGACTGAAGGGGAGTTGGGAGAGGGCTACATTTGTACTGTGGGGGGGGGGGGGGAAAGGTTATTGTTCACTAGATTTTCTTAAGGAAATCTGCTAGATTCAGCTTGTCCCGAAGAGGCACTGGATCTGCTGCTTATCACTGACTGGGCTAACTATCAATTAGTTTTAAAACAAACAAAAATATTTAGAGGAAAAAACCTGATCTTGATCATATGTTCCTTCATAAGGCACATTATTCTTCTGGGTAAATCTAGGTAATAGAAAGAGTAACCTTGCACACAGTAGGCACTCAGTAAGTATTTCTTTAAATTCTTTGAATGACTTTTCAAAATAGCAATGTTAAAGAAAAGTGGCTAGAATGTATTCAGTCAGG